AAGCTGCTGGATCTCACCCAGCCTGAGTTTCCTCCCTGACCTCCTGTGACCTTGGGGCCCAGCTTGCCCTCAGGTCTCCCGGCTGCCCCTTCTTCTCCCTCCCTGCTTTCCACTGAGAGTTCTCAGAGTCCACCAGCTCCTGTACCCTCGACACAAGCCTGATCTGAACTGGCCCCTTCCTTCTAGCCCTCCTGCCTAGGACACACAGAGCTCTGTGAGATTCCAGCAGGGCCTCTCCCCTGAGATGCCAGGCCAGCTCACTCCATGGCAGAGAGTGCCACAAGGAACCAGGCTTGTGCTGGCAACAGGCGGGACCCATGGAGGACACAGCAGGCAGGCTGTCTCTCCAGAACCCCTGCCCCATCTCTCACCTGATAAAGCCAACTCAATCCCTTTCATTCAGCCCAGTGACTCCCCAAGTGCTCAGGACGCATTGGCCACTTGGTCATTCAGTGGCCTGAATACATTTCAGCCTGTCACTCTTAGTCACTGCTGGCCTCTAGGCTAAGACCCCTCACTGGCCACCTAGGGCTGTCCCAGCCTTTTGAGTTAGCCCTACCCTCTCTGCAGTAGGACTGGAAAGCACCATTTTTCCATCAATAAACAAACACACACTGATTGAGCTGCTAAGTGCCAGGCACTGGGGATCCACACTGGACCTAATACACTCTGTCATTTGAACCCGAGGGACACTGACAGTGTGAGTTTCACCCAAATCATGTAACTCTCTCTCCCTCCTCACGTGAGTGCACATGACCTAGATCTCATGGGAAATCCACAGGAATAAAGTACTTGTGTTCTGTTTCTATTGCTGGTCACCATCCGAGTGTATGTGAGCACGTGTGACTCTAGAACAGCAGGGTGAGGGACTTGGAAAAGATATTAGTCATTAGTTTCTAGGGGTGAAGTCACCACACTCTGTCCACTGGAGCATGGTCTTCACCTAGAGGAGAGGGCATCCCATAGGGAGGGAGAACAGCAACGAGGGCAGCCTTACCTTCGTTTGCCTCAAAAGTGGGAAGTAGGAATGTCATTGCACAGGTTCAGAGGGTAGGAAAAACTGTATTATGTATTTGCTTGAAGGCAAATAGAGTCAGACTCTAAACACCCATCCAACTGGACTGGTCAGAAAGCTGATCCCTGTGGTTACTGTACCTCCTGCCTGCGCAGAATCAAACCAGAATCTGGGAGGTTCACCTTGTCTGGAAACATGGAGAAAGGCCTCTCCTCTTTAGGCCATCATAGTTACTGCTGCATCCATAGGTTCCAGACCACCCAGGTTTTTTGACTTCAGTAGGTTTTTGGCTGGAGTCCGCACATAGAGTACGGGATCCTTTGCTGAATGAGAATCTCCCTGTCTTGGGTTCAGCTCAGGAAACACTCCCAGAAGCCATCTCTCCAAGGGCTTTGCTGCTCATAGGGGCATGACCTGGGAGCTGAGCATACGTTCCAGCTCTGAGCTCCTGCTCCAAACACACACAGCACTACCCTCTCACCACAAGGGATACGAACTCTGGGATCACGTAACCCTCACAGGCAGGGCCTTTCCCACCTTATTGTGCACAAAGCAGGCAGCAACACAATCTCTTCATGACTGCGGGCACTTTCACAAACGCAGAGCAGTGAGGACACACAGCTTCTGATCTGGAGCCGAAAAAATATCTCTGTATCTAAGACATACTAAGAACCTGGATCCTTGATGGGAAAAGACAAAAAGGAAAATGCCAAAAGCAAAACAAAAATAATATTTAAAAATGTAGCCCAGCCACATGCATATCTTGTTTAGATATAACATGTACTTGAGGAAATGGTTCTGTGGTTTTGACACAAGTTTGAGGACCATGCTGCAGGTCTTCCTCCTGTGAGAGATGAGGGAGGGACACAGTCCCAGGCGGGGGCAGTGGCCGACTGAAGGCACCACAGAGTGAGAACAGAGCCTGGACTGAGCCCAGGCACCCTGACAGCCAGGCCAGCAAGAGCCCTGACATGTTGTCTAACCCCCGCCCCGTGATGACTTCCTGGCATTCCTGAACAAGAGCTGAGCTTCTGCTCAGACTCCTCCCTGGAGAGAAAACCTCTGGGCTGCTTCACAGCCATTCTGTGACAAGGATTCCAGCACCTCGCTTGGTGAGCTGAGGTCTGCTCAGGGGCACATTTGGATGGGGGTGGGTCATCACCCTAATCATGCTGATTCCTTCAAACCTCCTTTGTCTGTGGAAGTGTCCCCTGCCCCACCCCTGCCTTTGAGGAAACGATCCTTCTGGTCTCAACATCTCTGTAACAAATATTTAAGAATAAAAAAATAAACAAAATGTCTATCATGACCTCAAGGAGACGCTTCTACTCACCAAAAGTCACTACCATCTCCCCTTCTTCCATCCAGATCCACAAGAAGACCTGGGTCCCAGGATGTCAGCGAGAGGACCACCAAGCCAGCTCCTGGGGGAGAGAGACCCAAAGGAATGTGAGATCTTGCTAATTTGTTTGGGAGCGTGTCTTGGGATGGCTCTGCCTTCCTGCCCACCACCGTACTTCTGCTGGTTCCCCCTTTGGGGACTTACAGAACTCACAGGCTTGATTTCCTGTCTTGCTATCCCACACAACACTGCTTTTGTCTGACAAACACATTTCACCATAAAATAAGTGCAGCCCCTGGTTCCTTTTCGTCATAGGCCTATTGCTAGACGACATTCCTCATCCACAGATTCAGGAAGCTCAGTGAACCTCGGGGAGGGCAAAGGAATCCACATGTAAGCATATAATAGTCAAACTGGTAGAAACCAAAGATAGGGGCCCCCCCAGCAGTGCAGTGGTTCAGTTTGGGTACTCTGCTTCGGTGGCCCTGAGTTTGCTGGTTTGGATCCCAGGTGTGGACGTACACACCACTCATGAATCCGTGCTGTGCCAGGCATCCCACAAACAAAAAAAAATGGAAGAGGATGGACACAGATGTCAAGTGAGGCCCAATCTTCTTCAGAACAAAAAGAAAACAAAGATGAAAACAAAAGGCTGAAAGTAGACAGAGAGGAAAGCAATGTGCTTTACTTTATAGAAACAACAAGAGTAACAATAAGCTCTCATCAGAAACGATGGAAGTCAGAAGACAGTGAGATGGCATTTCTAAATGTGTGGAAAGAAAAAAGAAATAGGCAACCTCTTTCTGGAACTCTATGTTCAGTGAACATATTGTTGAAAAATTAAGGCAAAGTAAGGAGATTTTCAGAAAAACAAGGATATGAGAATTTCTTGCCATTGGACCTGCATTGCAAGAAAGACTAAAAGCAGTTTCTCAGGCTGAAGAGAAAAATCCCCATCATAGGAAGGAAGGTAAAAGAATAAAAAAAGTGTAAATGTGACCAAGTATAAAAGACTTTATATAAATTTCTTTCAAAGATTAACGACTATTTAAGGTAAAAATGCTTTAGGATTTATGCAATATAGTAGCCAAATGTATGATGAAAATACCTCAAAGAGTGGGAGGAAGGATAAATGGAAATGTTTTATTGCAATTATCTTATATGAAATTGTATAATATTAATTCAAAGCAAACCGTGATATGTGAAGGAAACATATTGCAATACTACAGTACCCACTAAAATGCTATGTAGAGATGTAACCAAAAGCCGATAAAGAAGGCAAAATCAGATACAACAAAAGAAAGCAGAAAAAGGACAAAAGAACAAAAGATTAATCACACAAATAGAAATCAAATAGCAATATGATATTCTTCAACCTAACCCTATCAGTAGTTGCATTAAATGTAAGCAGATTAAACACTCCAACTGAAGAGCAGAGATTGTCAGTCTGATAAAAATGCAAGACCAATTGTGTGCTGTGTACAGGAGACACTCCAATATAAAGACATGGATAGGATGACAGTAAAATGATGGAAGGAAAAATAAAGACATATCCTGCAACACCAATCCAAAGAAAACAGCCTCGCCCATGGAGTGTGCTCTTTAATTTTAGAATTTTGGGTACCTACGAGATAAAATAGAGTGTCTTGGTAGAATTATTATTTCCATTTTTTCCATATTTTATTTCCATTTCTCTTAATATGAGTGAGCCAAGACTTCATTATGTTTTAATTATATTTTACTGTGAACTGTCTTATCTTTTGCCCATTCTTCCATCAGGTCTTGGTCTTTTTCTTCTGAGTTTTCAGAGTTCTTTATATATTAGATAGATTAGCTCTTTAATTGTGATATGTGTTGCAACAGTTTTTTATTCCAACTTTGCTGTCTGTATTTTGAATTTTCTTACAGTGCTTTTTGACATGCAAATTTAAAAAGTTTTTTATTTATTTATCTAAGTTTATCTATCATTTCTTTTAATGTTTCTGGATTAAGAGTCATTTCTAGAAAGGCCTTCCCTTTTCTAAGTTATAAAGGAATTTACCCATGTTTATTTCTAGTGCATGTATGGTATTATTTTGTATATTTGAATATCTCATCTATTTGGATTTTATTCTGATGGTTTACGTGAAATGTGACTCAAACTTAATCTCTTAACAAATCACTGTCTAGTTGTTCCAGTGTCATTTATTTAAAAGATCATCATTTCCCCAATGATCTGAAATCCCACCTTATGAAAAACTACATTTCCGTATGTACTGGGGAATGTTTCTGGATTTCCTATTCTGTCTGATTGGTCTCTATGTCTGTTCATGAGTCAGTGCCACACTGTTTTCAGGAAAGAAGTTTTCTAAGATGTTTTTAATATATGACAGGGTTAATCTTCTCCCTTACTAGTCTTTTTTTTTTTTGTCACAATTTTCCGTGCTAATCTTGCTTGCTTATTTTCCAGGTAAATTTAGAAATTGTCTAGAACTTGTGCAACATTAGGAAAAAAATTGATATTTTTATAGGAATCACATTCAATGTATATATTACTTTGGGGAGAAATTATACTTTTTTAGTGTAGATCCATCCTATCTGAGAAATAGACTATATTTGTATTTCTCAAGTCTATTTTTGTGTTTTTAGGACTATTTAAAAGTTTTCCTCAAATAGATTTTCCACAATTCTGGTTAAGCTTTTCCTAGCATCTTGGGTTTTTATTGCTATTATCACAGATTTTCTTATAGTTAGATCTTAAATCTGATGGTTGTTTGTATATGTGAAAGCTATGGATTTCCTCCTAATTTTAAACCAATCTCAAGCTTACAGAGAAGTTGCAAGTATAATACAAAGAACTTTTATTTTCTTGAGCCATTTGAGAGTGAAGTTACTGACATGGTGCTCTGTCACTTCCGAAATACTTTGGTGTGTAATTCCTACAAACAAGGATGCTCTTACATAACCACATTCCAGTCATCAAACCCAGGAAATTAATATTCATATCATCAATACCAACTAATCTTTAGACATATAATCATTAGCTTTCTATGTTTTCTTATTATATTAGTCCCCACAGAGATTTATATAACAAATCTCCCATATCCCCATCCTCCTCTAAATGGGTCTCCTCCTCGCTCCATGTAGGCTCTGGCATTCCACATGAATGGCCCCTTTGTGCCAAAACCCAACTCACCGTAATCAGCTGGTTCTGACAAATTGCACCAGCCTGCCCCCCTGTAAAGGGCGTTGTCTCCCGACTTGAGCTCCAATACCAGCTACTAGGTCAGCCCCTTGTGTGAACCTGCTCAGCCAACTTGGGCATCCACTCCCTTCTCTGGGCTTCCATCCTCACCTCACATGTGTTCTGACACCCCACGCCATGCAGCCTAGTGCAGGGTGTCCAGGCTAATGTGTGGTGAGTAAGGTGTCCACACAGGAGGGAGGCCTGTCATGAGCACCTTCTGCACCCCACACAGGCACGGCTTGAACACCTCACTCTGGTTCACTGTGGCTCCCATTCCAGAGTGACCATTGACATTGTGCTTTGTTTTTTTTTTAACTAAAGTTCTTTTGCTTTTTAAGAGAATTGGGATCAACACGTTTAGAACCAACAGTATTTTCAATTCCATGACTCTCTCTTCTTTTTCCATTATAGGGAGATAATCAAGGGAACTCGTTTAGAGAATGGTACCAGGATATCAGAAATGTCGTTCTCTGGGCAGTGGTGTGAGAATAATGCTTTGGCTCCCTGGCATCCGTTCCCATTTCACGTGGTATCAGTAGTTCACTGAGGAGAATAACTTAGGGGAGAACCAACCACCTTCCATTCTCAGGACACAGGATTTGGACAGAGCAGACTCTAGCCGATCAAAGGCTGGGACCTAAGCTGAGACAGATCAGAACCTCTGACCAACTCTACAGGCAGCTAGAGCAGTGTGACAGATTCTGCTTTGCTGGGACGGCCTCTGTATATCTCCCATCCCACAGGCTCTTCTTAAAGGACTGTAACACTCCTCCCACTCACAGGCTGGGTTTTTGACCATTTTTCTTAATTGGGGCTGAGGAGGAGCTTTTGATGGCACCAAGCAGTGAAATACGGTAGAAGTGATGCAGTAAGACTTCAAAGTCTGGGTAATAAAAAGAACACAGCTTCTGTCTAGCTTGCTTTTTGGGAGATGCTCACTCTGGGGAAAGCAACCATCAGGTTGTGAAGAAGACCCGATATTCCCATGACAGAGGCTACTTGAGAGGCCCTCACGGAGAGGAAGGGATGTGCCTAGTGGACAGCCAGCATCAACCACTGGGCACATGTGAGCGAGCCTTCAGGTGATTCTGGCCTCTGGGCATCAAGCCTCCGCTGACACCAAGGAGAGCAGAGGGGAGTTATCCACACTAAACCCAGAGCAAAACGCAGATTCGTGGGCAAAATCACTGTGGTTGTTGTTGTTTTAAATCACTCAGTGCTTTAGGAATGGAACAAGCCCTCTTCAGCCATGGCCACCCCTTCTGTCCATCCATCTAAGCATCATCCTCACCACCCTTGTCTGATCACTGACGGTTTTGCCTCCTCCACTAGAAGCAAGGAATCTCATCTCAATACCCACAAGTCTCAAATAGAACGGGGCCTCCATAAATGATCATCCTCAATAATGAGGTTCAAAGAGAGCCAAGGAAATGAAGACAGTGTTGGATCTATCATCACAAGACTCAGGTTGCTGAGGCTCAGGGACCGGCTACTGGCTGATCAACATCTCCAACCACCCCACGTGTAGCCGGCAGTTCCTGCTTTCTGTGAGTATGGTCAGCACTGAGACAAGAGCTACAAGTGCTGGTGTGGTGACTGATAAGCTCTTGTTCCACTCAGGCCCGAGGACTTGATCAGATGGCAGTGTGAGGCATTCAGAGGGAAACTTATGTGATAACGGCCACAAAACTGAGGAGACCCTTGGAGTTAGACAAGGAGTAAGCATCAGCCACTGTGACCTGGGCTGCCTTCCTAGGGACAGGGGCCACTGCCACTCCTGGTGGCATTTCTTCTGTCCTACAGGGGAGAGTCAGGTGAGTGACTGTCCCCACCAACAGAGGCCCAGCATCATCCCACACAGGCTCAGTCCTGCTCAGATGCTGCACTCAGACACATCCTGGTGCTGGTCCGTCCAAGGAACTTTCTGAACTCCAGGTCCAACCTCCCTCAAACACCAGCAAATCTGATGCATAATGAAAACTCAGCAGGGCGGAACACTGTTCCCTACAAGGGCTAGTGGGTGTTGTTTTTCCCCAGGTCGTACTCTTGTCATCTGGAAAGTGGGTTCTTTTACAAAGTCCTCTGGAAGGAGATTGGAAGCTGGGAATGAGAATTAATTAATTCTCGAAGAAAGGGCAGCTTGGAGAAAGGGGCTGGCTTCTGAAATCAAAGTAGGGCCCACTAGCTTTCCAACTCAATGTCCTAAAACATATCGTCCAATTCCATTCCCTTCTCAAAGCTTTGTCACTCCCATGCTGCCCAGTAAAGAAGCGAAGTATCCAGTTGATCCCAGAGCTGGCAGCATCCCAATTCCCTGAACACTGATGTTCGGCTGGTTCACTCTCAAGTTCTCTCTGGTAATTTTTCAGTCAATGGGCACAGCAGCTTTGGCAGCTCTATCTTGCCTGCTGCTCAGAACCCTACCAGGACTATCCCAACCTACCCCCCTCAGAGGCTAACTGGGAGCCATTCCTTTGGGCAGACAAGACATTTAGTGGGCACCTACGACCTATCAGGCTCAAGCAGATACAGAGCAAACACAGCCCAGCATCTTGAGCTCATGTTCCGAACATTACAGACCAGCAGACCAGTGAGGTCTGGAAAAGAAGAGAGGGGAGAGGACTCAGAGAACATCAGGGAAAGGATTTTCCAGGATCCACCAGACCTTCAACGCTTGTTCCAAACACCATTCCTGTCTGCCACCCATGTGCCTGCAGCAGGAATTAAGGAATGAGGGCTGCTCTTCTCTTTGTCAGAGAGAGAATCTGAGTATGGAGGGTCTTAGGCAACGAGGATCGCCACTCCAGGAACGCACAGGACACCCTACTTGGTTGGTGCTGGATACTGCAGACCCCACTATCTGTCACCCCAACTCCTTCCGCCCTGCTCTCCTTTGTCCCCATCTCCCTGCTCAAGCCTGTGACTCCATGAGCTCAGCAAGCATGGTAGAATTTTCTTCCAGGGAAAACAATCAGGGGCCATGAGGACAATCCTTATTCTTGTCACTATCTGGCATTTCTTCTGATCCAGACTCCAGAGAAAAGAAAAAGCTACGAGGGGTTTCCTTGTGTGTGAGGACTTTGTGCTGACAGCAGCCACTGGCTACTGAGGAAGGTGAGGAGCAGCTGTGGCCCCACCCTTCTGCCCACACTTCACAGAGAACTGCCTTCTCAGGGGCTACAGAGCTGGGCCACATAGTAACACAGAAGAGCCCTTCAGAGGACAGGGAAGCTTTGGGGAGAGAGGAACAGGTCAGTTCAAGGGGCCTGTTGAAGAGACGGGCTGGTCAAAGGCGCCATCGGGAGGAGGCTGAGATCGTGCTCCATGCCCAGAGTGCACAGGGGAGAAATTCAAAGTTTTGCTAAGAGAAAGGCAAGCTCTGCATCTGACTGAACACCCAGAATCTGCTCCAGGAACTGCCACTCAGCATGGAACGCCAAGAAGCAGAGGACACGGAGATGCTCAGCCCCAGGGCCCCACCCCTGTAATTCCTCCTCACTCCAGTCCTGCCATGTCCCAAGCCTTCCTGCCTCCTTCATGGCTCCTGGGGTGCATCTCCTGTGACTGCACGTCCCACTCTGCTCTGTGCAGCTTAACCCACTTCTCCCTGAGCCTCCACAACATCCAGGAGCAGGAAGAACCCAGCAGGTCATCCCTGTGAGAGGAACCATCCCCCACCCAGACTACAAGCCTAGGAATTTCTCCAAGGACATTGTGTCACTAAGGGTAGGGCACGTTGCTCCACTGGTTCTTGCACACTTTAATCCTGAGGTTTTGCATCCCCCACGACCTCATTCCTGTCCCTCCTTCCCAGCATGACCCTTTCACTTGTCTCAGGGCTGTGGAGAAGGCAACCCCATGACGGTCCCTGGAGTTTTTGTGAATTACTTTCCTCTGCCCTGAGCTTGAAGAGGAAGGCCAACCTCACTGCCTCTGTGAGCCCCTTCAGGCTGCCCAGGAGGAGAGAGCTGGCAAAGCCAGGGATATTGTGCAGTGTGGCTGACTGGGAGCACCTTGGTGGGAACACTCCCTAGGCCATAAAACTGCGGGAAGTAGAGCTTGATATCCAAAGGGATGAGTAACACATCTCTCACTACAAAGGCCACTATAACACAGTCAGCCAGATATGTGTGGGGGACCCAACAAGAGGAAGACTCTTTTTAAGGTGAGATCCCCAGCACTGTCCATGCTCAGCGTGGGGTACAGCCAAGCTTGAGGAGATCTGGGGCAGAGGGAACGAGCTATATCCTTATGTACTCAGCCTTGTCACCAACTCAGTCTGTGGTCCTGTTACCCTGCAGGCATAGGAGACTCTACCACAGCCACTTACAGTTAAAGTCTTCCTGGGTAGGAGAAGAAGGGAATCATCAGGGCCAGGCTGGGGCTCCAGAACTGAGGAAGGCCACAAAGGCTGTCCTGACCCACATCTCACTACCAGCCCCCAAACAGGGACCACTTAACAGCAGGGCATAAGGGAGGGGAGAAGCGGGAGAAGACCCAGCCCAGCCCCTCCTCCCCTGCCCACAGGAGGAGCCCAGTGGCTCCCTTGTATGGAACAAGGTGGCCCAGGACATTGTCTCCTTTGGAAAAAAGAATGGGAAACATTCACCTGTCTACACCAGGACCTTGAGCTTTCTACCCTGAGGAAAAACTGCCTCCAGGATTGATCCATCTGTCTTCTCTGGGGCAGAAGCCAGCAAAGCACTGGGTAGAGCAGGATGGAGAGGAGACTGCCAGGGACTTACTAAACTTCCATCCTTAGAGTGGAAATCATTAATTCTTTCTTTATTCACCAAAATGTCCTAGAGCCTATAGCATATTGAGCAAATTTTTCAACAATCTCTGAATCTTGTATATAAGAATGGATTAAGAAAATTAAACTCATTTTTAAAATATCCACCTTAGAGAAGGCTAGACTAGAAAGAAATGGTATGCTAAATGCTTGCCATTGATGAGTGTGCTTCAACTACAGGAAAATGTTTTCTGGGTAGAAAAGTAATACATGTTCATCATAGAAAGAAAGTTAAAGGAAGAATAGACAAACAAGAATGTTAAAATTCCCAAGAATTTCACCTCCCCCAGATCATCATCATTAGTGCTTAAGCACGTTGCCTTCCCCTCTTTTTCTGTGTCTTCATAATGTTCCATTGTTTTAACAGAATTGGGATTGGGCTGTTTAGAATTCATAATGTCTTCTTTTCCACTACTCTCTCATCTGTCATCATTCTGGAGAGGATGTTGGGATAATCTGTTGGCAAATGCTTCTGTTAGGTCCAGGCACATCAGAGCCATGATTCACTGGACCCGGGACAGAGAGTACTTAGTGGATAGTGATTATTAGGATGATCGGCATCCATTTCCCCATCAGCTGTCACCAGGAACCAGCATTTCTCAAGGGGAACTCCCTCCTCAGAAAACAGACACTCTGACTGAGGTGGAACAATCCCCCCTTCAGGTCCAGGGGTGCTCAATGACTCAAGAATAAACCACTTAGGCATTGAATTCTGATGGACTCAATGATGGTTTGTTTTGGTCCCATGAATATCAAGTCCAGGATTTCACTCAAAACTGTGGGATAAAGAAATCTCTCTTTGTCACAGAATATTTGCATTTAAAGAGGGGATTCTAAATATTCCAAAACATGAGGCTGGACTTGTGGTCAGAGAGGCAGTGAGGTTACCACCAGGGATCTCTGTGTGTCCAGCTCTACATGCTCCTAGGGCAGGTCCAGGCTCCATCTCCCACCACCAAGCAGACCCCCACCACAGCCCTTACTGGCCTACACTCTAACCACAGATTCTCAGTCTACTCAAGGCGACCGCCATCTTCTCAAGGGCAGGAGCCATCTCACTCATCTCCTTGGACCTAGATTCCTAAATAGTTATTCATGACTTCAACAGGATGGAAAAAGAGCCAAGAGCTGAGAAACGGAGACATTCTAGATTCAGTCACTGAGGGGCTTCTGGGATCCAGCTCCTCTGCTGGCTGCAGCACAGGCTTCACTTTCTTGTTCTTTCTTCTTGATTTCACCTTGTGACTTGGGAGTGCAAGTGTGGTTGGTGGCAGTGCTACTGTCACCTAAGACAATCCAGAGAACTTTGACAAACCGCCTTGCAGATGACACAAGAAAACGAGAAGAGCACAGGTCTAGGAGGTCTGTGAAGTCTTGAGCCACCACTCCTGCCTTCACCTTGGGGACCTTGTGTCTGGAAAGAAGTAACACCAGCAGCTGTGACCTTGGCAGACCTTCAGGAAAGATGCAGCCACTCCTGCTATTGTTAGCATTTCTGCTGCCTCCTAAGACTGGGACAGGAGTGTGACCATCCCCATTCCAGAAACCCCAGCCCACCTAACAAAACCCTCTGGACTCCTCACCCTTCTGCCCAGCACAGTCAGGGATTTTCCTCAGTTTGAGCCCAAGAACTTTCTAGATGCCAGCCTCTATCCCAAACCTACACTAAGTCGTCCAATGCTGCATAGACACTCAAAAAGGATGGCAGGAAAGAAGGTCGTTCACTAGAAGGTTTAGTGTATAAGCTTCTCTCTTATCACCTGGGAAGTGGGTTGTTCATAGAAAGGCATTTGGCAGACGACATGAAGCTACAAATGACAAGTAGTTAAAATCCTTCACTCCAACCCAAGAAAGGGCTGCTCAGAAAAATCGGGTGTGGTAATGAGAGTTGTCCTGGACCCAACTTAAGATTCAGTTTCATTTCCTGGTAACTTCACCCCCTCACCCCCGCTGAGGAGAGAAACCCAGGGAGCAGCTGATCTCTGAAGGGGCTGGATCACTAGATGCAGGGCGCCCTGTTGCCATGGCTCTGCCACGGTCCTGGGCAGCACAATTTCAGCCCCACCTCCACCTGCCATCTCAGGCCTTCAGCTGCTCCACACAGTGTCCCATCTGCAGGCCAATGGCCTTCAATTCCACCATCAGGATCCCCACCAAACCTCAGCAGAAAGCTAAGTGAAGGACATTCATTCACGCAGCCACACAATGTTTACTGAGATGCTAGGGCGGGTTAGATACTCGGGCATGAGGATTGTAGAAAACCCAGCACCATAAGCTCACAGATAGATTATTAGATACGGGCACCAGTTGAGAGATTAGTAGAGGCTCAGAGGGGTTGGGAGATGCACTGAGACAGAAGGCATAGCAGAGCCCCATCCACGATCCCCTGGGCTCCACCATCGTGAAGACAGCTCTGATCTCCTACATGCATGGTCTGAAGTAGGACAGGGAAAACAAGCACTGTCCTCCCTTTTCTCACAGGAGATTCTGAGGCTTGACATTCAGAAAATGTTCTTCTCTTGCTAGGAGAACCTGGGAGGACACTCCCCGGTGGCAGCAGGGCACTATAGACCCCACCCTCAATCACCACCTTCGAGAGCCTTCCCTCCTGACCCCAGCTGCTCCCAGAAAGCCCATCTTCCAGTCTTTTCTTTCAGAGAACATCATCGGAGGACATGAGGCCAAGCCCCACTCCCGCCCCTACACGGTGTTTGTTCAGTTTCTGCTTGAGAACAAAAAGAAGAGGTGTGGCGGTGTCCTCGTGCTAGAGAACTTTGTTCTGATGGCTGCTCACTGCCGGGGAAGGTGAGGGGCCGCAGACAACTGACACCTCCTGAGACCCCTACAGGGACCCCTGTCCTCTGCCCAAGGGCCACAGCCCAGGGAAGCTCCCCCGGCTCCTGGTAACTCAAGGCCCTGAGAGCTCATGAGAGGAGCCATCTGAGAGCATGACTGGGTGATGTAAAGTGAGAAATAGTACGCCTAAGCTTTGAGGTCAGAGGGTCTGAAGTGAAAGCAAGTGACTCAGTTGAGAAGACAGACCACACTGGCCAACTAAAGCAGCTGGGAAAGCTGAAAGCAATCATTAGGGTGAAAAGGGAAACTCAGAGTATTTTCACAATATGACTTGAGGGCTAGAGAAAGCGTCCAGGTGACCTACCCTCAATGTCATTGAGAAGCACAGGGGACACACTCACTCAGTGCCCAGTCCTCCTCTTGTTTTGATTTCCACTAGCTGCAGCCCTGCCCTGCCCCATGTCATCCGCCCTTTTATGATTCCAGGGCTGGATCTCTTTTGATTCCATGCACCCCACCAACTCACTCTAGTTTCTATGCAGAGTAATCAGTGTCACCCTTGGGGCCCACAACATCCAGAAGCAGGGGAAGACCCAGCAGGTCATGACTGTGAGACAAGCCATCCGCCACCCAGACTATAATCCTAAGAACCTCTCTTATGACATCATGTTACTAAAGGCAAGGGTACCTCCCTACTGCTCTTGCTGTCTTGGGTCCAGACGCTTCCCCTTCCAGTGGGACCTGTCCCTCCCCTCCTTCCCCTTCTGGCCACCTGACTAGTCCCAGTGGCTCAGGGGAGAGGGAAGTCAGTGCAGCCTCAATGTGGTGTCCAGGCCCAGGAGGCCAGTGGCTGAGCTGGACTTTCTTGTGTCTTCCCATAAGCTGGAGAGAAAGGCCCAGCAGACTGCAGCTGTGAGGCCCCTCAGCCTGTCCAGGGGCAAGACCCAGGTGAAGCCTAGACAGATGTGCAGTGTGGCCAGCTGCGGGAAGTCTCCTCAGTAGACAGAGTGTCCGACACACTGCAGGAGATGGAGCTGACTGTGCAGAAGGATGATGATTTTTACTCCCACTTCCCCCACCATTGCAACCAGGCCACCCAGATTTGTGTAGGGGACCCGAAGAAGATGAACAACAACTCTAAGTTAGGGTTTCCAGCATCCACCGAGACAGACCAGGGAGAGAAGAAATGGGGAGCTCTTGGGGATGGGAGTGGCCATATCTTCAAGCCTGAGCCTGAGAGCTTGGGCAGCCTGGGTCCACGAATGCAGTCTTTACTTTTTTCCCCAGAGCAGATCAGGGCTGCAGGGCGAGGAAATATCAGTCATCCCACAGCACAGTTCTCACCAAAATTTCCCTGAGGATTAGAGAGAAAGCCTTGGCTGGGTGGAACTGCAAGAAACAACCAGAGCCAGGCTGGAGGCCTGGCATGAGGGAGGTGGCAAGGCCCGCCCAGGCCCTGCTCTCCCACACAGGCCATAATGTAGGCCACTGACCCCTGGGGTGGAGGGAAGGGCAGGACCATGGGGAGGCCAACTCAGTCCTTCCTCTCTCTGCCACCAGGGGGACTCCGGAGGCCCCCTCATCTGCAACAAGCTGAACCAGGGTATTTTCTCCTATGGACAAAACAACGGGACCCCTCCAGGAGTCTTCATGAAGGTCTCACACTTTCTGCCCTGGATAAAGTCAACAATGAAGCGCTTCTAACAGCAGGCAGGAGGCTGACCTTCCTCTGTGCCTGACCATCTTTCCTGGGGCAGAGGCAGGACTCCCATGGGGCGGGCAGTGGGACTGAGGGGCCATAATAAATGGATCTCTAGCGAGTGTGACTGAAGTCTCACTGACTCACTGAACCACTTTCAACACGCAGCAGCATGCTCCAGGCAGCCCTCTGCTGTCAGTTGTGGCTGTCCTTCCTCCATCTCCTCCAGCTCTCCTTCCCCCTAAACCCCATGCTGTATCCTTTCTCAGTCACAGCTCCATGGTGCTGAGCCCTGTGCAAGGGCTGAGTCTGAAGGCTGCCCATTATAGTAGGACAACCTTCTTCCCCAAAATATGTTCCTCCCTGGGCCTTACAAAGTTCTTACCTTCTCTGACACAACCACCATCACCAACACCCTGACAATTTGGCAGAGAGAGGAGCAGGTCAGTGGAAGGAGAACTCCAGGGAGACAGGAGGCCAGGGGCTACACCGTGGACACTGAGTTTCCTGTTTCCAGGGCTTCTGTCTCCAGTGGGGCAGCTTCTCCCAAGCCAGGACCATCTGCAGCTTCTGACGCTCAGCTGCTCCCATGATGGCCTCCAGCCTCACTCTGGTCCCATTTCCTCCCCTAACCTGGGACCAGAACTGAGCTCACTCAACCTTCCTCCCTGGCTGACTGTCCCACACCAGCCTCTATTTTCCATGTGACTGCCCTGTCTACCGGCTCCTTTCCCTTCCAGCCCACCGTGTTTTGAGCCAGCTTCTCTCTCATCTCCCTAACTGAGTTCCCAAAGTCCCATGTGAATTCCCCTCTATGGCTTGTCCCTGTCATGTCTGAGCTGCCTGCCCACCTGATGCCTATCAGAGGACCCAGTACCCACTTCCCACCTGAACAGAAACAGTTCAGGTCTTCCATCCAGCCTTGCATTCCCTGGGCCATATCCACGATGTCCTGTGGAGTCACTCAGCAGCCTCAGCCCCTTTCAGCCTGGCCTGTCTCCCCCTGCTGGCAACCTGGGTTATGGCAGCTCAGTGAGCCTGAGGGCTCCAGGGCTGTTGGGCCAGAAAGTACCACTTGGCTGTCCATCAATAAGTCAACTGTTGATGTCTCTCTTTGTGCCAGACACATAAGAGGCTGTGTCCCTGATACTCAGAAACTTAGATGGAGGGCAATTTCCTCTACATTCTCCTAGTTCCTCCCCTTCCCCCAGGCAGGTTAGTTTGGCAAATGGATTGGTATTTGGAATCCATAAGGCATCTTGCCTGGAAAATAATTAAAATCTCTGTGTTTTATCTGTATTGCACATTAGAGTTTCACATGAGTAATCTTGCTGGATTCGAGAAGGGCAGTGCAAAATTGGAAGAGACTTCAAGACCCACAGGTCCTGAGATTCCCAATCTGTGCTCAGGGGATCCCATGACCAGACAGGACGGAGGGAGAGAGGAAAGAGGCACCTGGGCAACCTTATCTTTATTTATTGACATGTAGAAGGCATAACTCCCAGTCCACAAATGCAGAAAATGCCACATTTCAAGTCAAGACCATTCACTGTGATGAAAATAGTAAGAATAACAAGAAGCTTTCACATCTTCAGATAAGTGGACAAACTGTTCAGGTTTAACCATGATTCAACCTAAAACTTGCTTTCCCCAAAACAGCCTGACTTCTGACCCACCAAACATTGTACATCTGCTTCAAACATTTTCCCAAAGCAAAGAATGCATTTTCATTTTATTTATTTATTTATTTATTTATTGAGGAAGATTATCCCTGAGCAACCGTCTGCTGCCAATCCTGCTCTTTTTGCTAAGGAACATTGGCCTTGACCTAACACCTGTACCCATCTTCCTCTATTTTATATGCGGTTCGCCTGCCACAGCATGGCTTGATAAGTGGTGCGTAGGTCCACACCTGGGATCCAAACTGGGCTCCTGAAGCAGAACGTGCGAACTTAACCACCGCACCATCAGGCTTGCCCAAGAATGCATTCTTTAAAGATAAGAATGAATGTCTCTCTTTCTCTGACTCCAATACCATCACTTCTTTGAAGATAAGCTCTTCTTCTCAGAGGACCAAGGTCAAGTTGCCCTGTTATATATGTGCTAAACTACAGAAAAACATATCCTTGTGACTTGGAAAAAGATTGCATTCCTATCCTATTTCATGTATGTTCTTGTTTGTGAAATGGTCTATAGCCATGCTGTGACCACACTTCTCAGGAGAGCTTTCTTTCCTGATGGAGACAGCACTTCCGGGCTACTCTTCAGCAATGGCTCAATAAACATCGCTCTATCTTTCTTATCTAAAGATTGATCATTGATTATTTTTGTCACCAATTATGACCCGGATGATCTTATTTTAGTATCCTGCAAACAGCACCACCGATAAATTGCATGTGACAGAATGCAACAAATTTGTGATAGCTGGACAAACACTGAATCAGTTGGGACCAACATCAAAAAGAGAAGAACCATCATGGAGAAGAATAACAAACAAATCACACAGATATGAAAAGCAAAATCCAGCACATTGAAAACTAAGTTGAAAAGCAAAAGAAAGCTTATTTTTCCTTCAAGACAGTCCCCATGTCCATCCACCAAGCATTCTGTGGGACCCACAGCACCAGCAGAAACACCAGCAGAGGCACGAAGGAAGAGCTGAATGCACGTGCGGAGATTAGCACGTGAATAGTAGAACGGGCAGGAGCCAGGGGACAACTTCGGCTCACAGAAAAAAAAAGAACACTCTTGGGAGAAGCCATCACAATAAAGAAATAGAGACCCCAGAAAGTCAGCCATGAGGAGCTCCATGGAGCCCCAGGGTGTTAGCCAGAGCCAGCGAGAGAGTAGACAGGGATATTCCCCACCAAGGTCTTGGGTGTGTGGCCTTGAAAGACTACGCCTGGTGGGTCAATTCCCCCTCTCACCTGATAGAGCACTTAACATAGTATGACACACCTTAGGAAGGAAAATGATGACCTTCTGATACCTGTAGCATCAGGAAGACTGGGATGTTCTTGATTACACCTGTTTCCTTAAAATGGATTCTAAGTCAGTTTATATCTATTTCTCTCTTTTGATCTAGTCATTTTTCTTCTAGGACTTATTCTTACACAAGGTCTAAAGTATAGGAGGATGCGCGTGTGTTATTAATAAAAATGTTCATCACACCATTATGTAATAATAAACCCCAAGTTGGAATCAGTATTAATCTCCAAAATAGGAAACTGGTACAATATGGCACCTGCTCATTATGGATTCCTCAGCCCTTAACATAGACATATCCACTGCTGGAGAAAACAAGGCTAAGAACATTAACAGGTAAGTTATAAAAGAACTAATCAACATTTGGAAAAAAGGAGAAGCTCACTTATTAATCAATGCTAATTAAAATGTTAATAATTTTTTGTTTAGCTAATCAGGAGGGATTTACAAAAGTAATGATGCTTACATTCAGTATGGACATTGAGAAAATGGCATTTTCGCACCTTGTGCACAAAAGTTAATAAGAATAAAAGGAACAAAGGAGTCTTTCACCTAGCCTTCAAGCACAATGAGAGAAGCAGACAAGGTTATTCCTTACATATTTGTTAGAAAAGTCAAGTCTTCGAAACAACGCCAATGTTCAGTACCAATTTGGGGATGAGCTTTTGACAAGTTTCATACCAGTGAACACTATGGAAACTTGAAAGTTTTGAGACTGAATTACATTTTTGTGCGGAGAAGAATGTTCACCAGGTATGTTTAAGCCTAATTAGTTAGAGATCCATATATACTACAAGTGTATCTTTGTTTATACTTATATTTTCCTTGTAGGTTTTTTTAGTCCAACATATTCATTCTCATAATTTTTCTGTATGATTTAGATAACTTAAAAGCATATTAATTAAATATGAATGAGATCAGTAAACGATTTTCAGCAATAGGTTTTTAATAAAATGAGGGAAATGTTTATGTTGAATAATTTAAAGGATAGGATGAAAAACTAAATATACTGTGATCACACCTAAGTGAAAATACACAGAGAAAAAATCTACGTGGAAAGACTTCTGTTGACAGTGGTCAGTTGGGTGGTGAGATCAAGGATGACATTTTCCTTCTTTCTATTTTTTAATTTATTCTATATTTTAAACTGCATACTGATTAAAATAATTTTATTTGTATCAATATTACAATTCAGAAAAAGTTACCCTTCAGTAAGATGGTCTGTGTGTTAGTTAAGATAACTTTAATTATTCTAACTGATAAACTCTAGCATTTCAGTGACTAACACAACAGAAGTCTATTTCTTGCTCACACACAGTCCAAAATGAGTTTCCTGGTGCGTGCTGCCCCTCTTACTCTCAAGTGTCCCGTTTTGGACAATCATTACATGGTCAACAGATGACTAAGGGACTAGACTCACTTCCCTGAAGGTGGCATCCGTGTTCCCCATGTTCACCTGCGTCAAACCCTGGAAGGGGAGGAGTCTACACGGTCAGCACAGGACTGTGTTAGGGGCCTGGTCTGGAAGGTGCCCACAGCATTTCCACTCACATCCCATTTGTGGCAACAGTCACAGAGCCACACCCGACCTCAAGTGAGGCTGCACAATGGGGTTCACCTGTGTCCCCTGCAAGAAAAGGAAATTGCTTCGGTACAATGCTAGCTCATCTCGACCACAATGCTTAATAGTGTTTGCTGTTTAAAGTGATCACGAGCCCTAAAATTTTCTGCCTATAATACAATTACATTTCAATTATAGAAAAAAAACTAGATAACATAAAGGTGAAAATGAGTCACATAAAATGGTTGTTCTAGTTCTTGTCTTTTTCTTTAACAGAATTACTATCAAATTCTATACACTATTCTATAGTCTACTTTTTCCACCTGATATCAGATGATACAAACCGCTCCATGCCACTAAGCAGTCTCTAAAACATGGTGCTTTTGAGCAGCTGGACAGCATTCCACCCATGAATGCATCACAGTGTGTGTCACCACTCTCCTATCTTGAATATTTGGATTGTCTGAGCGTTTGTGGAAGAGGGTTTCAGGGACCATGTCCACCTCCACCTCTTCCTATATTTACTCAGGGCCCTAGGATCAGCTGCTCAGTCTCAGAAGTGAGCTTTTCTGCCAGGAAAC